AGGTGGGGCGAGCCGTCGCGTTCCCGCGCGTTCCCTCGGCCGATGGCAATCTTCCCCCTCGCGCTTCGGCTTCCTCCGCTCGCACGTACAAGCCGCAAGCGATCGCGGGGCAGCGCGCCGGAAGGGAGGCGACGCGCTTCGGACCTTTCGGAGGTGGAACCGATGCGCGCCACTGTTTGCCTCACGGCCGTGTCGCCGGCAGGATGCGCGCGCCTTCGGACCCAGAGTCCTTTTCGGCGGCCGTCACTGACCGCCTTGGAGCTCCGCAGAATTGTTTTTTTGTTATCACCCAAACTCCGAAACACGTCTGGTGGTTCATAGGTATCTATTGGAAGGGGAGGAGGGGAGCGATGGGGGTACGCCGCGAGACCGCGCAGGCGCGGTTTTCCGCCGTACGAATCGGGCGGGGGTGGAGAGGTTGCCGCCACGAATACCGCGCAGGCATACGTCCAATGGATCGGCACGCAGGCGGTGAATAGGACGGCGTTTGGCGCAGGATGAAGTTCGGGGGTTTGAAGGAGTGGCGTAGGAGGTGGTTCGGGCATTATTTTTGGCTAAACGTACTTGGCGTGGGCGTTGCCAGTCCGGAGGCTTCACACCAAGATACTTTCGCTGTTTTTTTGCCCGTTAGGGCGGCCTACAAGCTTCACGACTTCATCGGGGTCCGGCCCTCGTTCGAGTGAAGTTGACGGCTACGCACTTGTCAGGGTTGAGGGCAAGCTTTTTATGCTTAGCCAATTTGGGAAGCTCGGCGAGACAATCATCAGATATCTCACCGATTTCCTTTGTCCGCCGATTTCGCATAGTAAGCGAAATTCAATCCCCGAACATTGGAGCCCGCAATGCTGAACTGCGGTATTTTCTTCAACAAGGAAGGCGGCGCGTCGTTGACGTACAGGCCGAATAGTGTCGGTGAGAGCACGCTTCCCTGAGGCAACTCGGGCTGCCGGCTCGTCTTGGGACGAAGGTTACGCCATTGGACGCGAACCTTGAATCGTCTATCTGTCAAGAAGCTGGCGATTAGTCTGACGGTAGAAAACAGTCTCTGATTTCCAATGTCCGCAAGACACGCGAGCGCCCCCTCGTGCCATACAGGATCGAGATGCGATCGCGTGTCTAGAAAAAAACACTGGTAAGTTCTGCCGTCTTTCTAAATCCGAATCGCTCATCTCTAGAAGCTTAAGACCCGTATTTCCTGTTGCAAGCGCTCAAAAAGGATCAGCGCTCGAAAGCTTTCGCAAGGAAGCGAGAGGAGGACCTAATTGGTCTGTAAACCGCTTCGCCAGAAGTTGGGTCCCCTGTTTTAGGGGGGCTTTTGTATCATGGATTTACTGTCCGCGATTTCCAACGCTCTGGGGAAGTATCCTACGCTAGGCACGCATTTAGGAGTGCCCGCAGGAACCTCCACCCCGTCGGCGCCGAGAGCGCGGAGCTGGGCGGCTGTTATTCCGTCCGGCCGCAGCCTTGCGCCGTAATGAGTTGTCGCAGCGCTTCGCGGAGCTCCCTTCCCGTCACAGCGTCGCGCAGAGGTGCTCGGCTCGGGGTCCAGATAGTCGCGTAAGCGTTGCAACGTGCTCTGGTCCCCGGAGTCACCGGACTCGAATGGCGGAACTGCCGTTTCAAGCGTCTCTTGGCGAAGAGTTCGCTTTTTTCGCGGCGTCCTCACACACGGTTATTCCGGCTGCATAGACCGACGTGATCGTGACCGGGCGCTGTGTGTCGGAGTGGGCGAGCGGGCAGTTTTACTCCCGCCTTGCGGCCCAGCGCCTTAGATAATCCCCATAAGGTTTCTTTCACGAAAGATTGCAATTCTTCGATCGTGCGCGACCATTTTGCGGTTCTCTCGTCTTGTAGAGATTTACGGAATTCTCTTGCTAGAGCTCGCGCCAGCACTCCGTCCGCGGGTCGCCGTAGCGGCTGTGTAGCTTAGAATATCTGCGCAGCTCCCGCCCAAAGCGTCTTTCTCTGCTCATCTGTAAGCTAAGCGACTGACTCCGGTTCGCGAGTCAATTTTAGTATTTGATTTGTAGGACGTTCGAATCGCGGAGAGTGATGTGAGTCATGGCGCGCTATCGATTTCGTCCCGTGAATTAGCGGTTTTCGCTTCAAGCACGTGCTTATATGAAACTGTGAAACAGGCCCCAGTTGGTGTTGTTGATATTTTAGAATTGTTCATCTCTCTCTTTTTCTAACGCGAGTATCGCATCGATACAGGCAGTGTCTAGTTGCTGATTTGGGCAGTAGACGGACGCGATTCCCCATTCCCACCTCAATATTTGAGTACTACACCGCAGAAGCTTAGTTGCACAAGCAACAATACGCACAGAGATGGTGACGCCAACGCGTGATGTGTACGCCACTTATACGACAAACGATTGCTGACGTAATGGCGTGGTTTGGCGAGTGGCTGATTGGTAGGAAATACAATGTGGCATCCTGGTTACATGGCGCTGTTTTGAGTGTACGCAGCCTACTACGTATGCAATCAACTTTCTGCCGATGTTCTCTTGAACAATGTAAAACCCTTTAAATTGTAAGTATTACGAATCATTCATTTTTTTTCGTCCACAATACGAAGGTTTGGCTTCTATTTAGCAACACAATTTAATCTTGCCGTAACTGCATTTTTATTGTTCGAAAGCTTTGAATACAAAATGCTTACCATTTCTTATGTATTGTATTACTAGAAACACCGTTGTGTTCCCTGTTGTTCATTGAGGGTACTGCGTTACATCTTTGTGCATTACAAACTTCAACTTATACTGGACCTTATGTTTCACAAGAATAAAAACATATGTGGATCATTTCAAATACAGCAACTTAACTTTGGGGGGGATATATTTCTATTTGTTGTTTTCCTTATTGAATGTATACATAAGTGTGTGCAATATACGTTTCTATGGTATCCTGTATTCTTTTATAATAAATTATTAGTATAGAAACTCAAGTTTAACAACTCTATTTTTGTAAATATACCATGATTTTTATTGAATCGCCAAATAGCCATAATTTTAATTTCATACTGTCAAATCGACAAGACTCGAAGTGGAATGAATAATACAGATATTTCCGTCAACAATTCTGTAAAACTTCCATTCAGTTGACGTGAAATCAGTGGAGCAGTAGGTTTTACGTTGGGGACCTTTTTTTAATACAAATTTCTTAAACTTACTAATAGATTGAAGAAATCAAAGCATGGTTCTTAATACAATTACCACAAATTATGCCACAAATGATTGCACTTAGAGATTGGTATAAGAATTCATATTAAAGGGCTCAATGTGAAATCTGCTCAAGCAA